CCCTGGGCTAACATCTGTGCCCATCTTCCTCCACTTTATATGGGACGCCGCCACAGCATGGCTTGCCAAGCAGTGCGTCGGTGCACGCCCGGGATCTGAACCAGCGAACCCCGGGCCACCGCAGCGGAGCGCGCACACTTAACCGCTTGCGCCACCGGGCCGGCCCCGATTTTGTAGTTTTAACATCATTCATTAGTTATTTAGAAAATATGGATTCGTTGAGTTCTATAGATCTTCCAAATGTTGATACATCTCATTATATAGCAAAAAAATCACATTCATTGATATCACCAGAAGTGTCATCAGAAAAATTTTAATTACTGCATTGAGAAGCTCACAGAGTCAAATACAAATTTTCCAAAGTTCTAATTTTAGGTGGAATAGTCAGTCTATCATTGGCAACAAATTCTGTCAATTATTTTCATTTCATGACAAGTTCTCTTTTTTATATTTGAGAAATGTCTGCCAGATACCCAAGTCTAACTCTAGTTAGTTTCAGTTGTGCTTTCAAGTAAAAATGGTGTTCCATTAAAAATATGCAAGTTCAGCTCACGACTCACTTGTGTACAACTAAGTGTTTTTCCTTGGGACAGCCTTCGTGCTTTGGATATGCAACAGACGTGCTTTATGTGTTCTTCCTACATTGTCCTGCAGAGTATTAGAATAACATGTACTCAAAGGTAGAGATTTAATAAAATTAATAGTTTTAATGGCTTCTTAAAGACATTCTTTAGTCTGACTGGTTTTTTACTGTGAGTATGTCATGATGAAGAATAATACAGTTTGGTGCCGCTGCCTTGACTTAACGTTAAGGTACCAGTAGCTTCACCCACTATTGCTTTTGAACCATCACGGCAAATTTTAACATAGTCAAAAAGGCAAGTAACATATTGGTATTATTATGGAAATAGTTTTGGGCCTCAGGAACCTCCCATAGGTTCATGGACCACTTTGAGAACCACACTGATTTAGACTTTCAAAGGAAGGAAGTCGTCTCATCTCATAATTCCTTCACAGTACCTGAGATACTTCTTTAGATAGAAGGAAGTCCATTTTTGAAAATCTTTATTATTTTTATCCTGATTTCATATAATAATAGTTAATATTTTATTGAATGTTTGTTATATGCCAGGTGTAGATACTAATATTATCTGTTCCAGTGTGTGTTTTTTCCACACCACTAAGCAGTTCTCCAATTCTCAGCAGGCAGTGATCGGGTATCCTACAAATTTAAGTCATTCTGACACTATCTACCCTCCCCCTGCCCCTTCAGATGCCAATTGCAAATCTAGGTTGTGTGGTGGGCTTGTTACTCACTGGCTATAAATCGGAGGTTTCCACAACTCCCTCCTTGCGTTTGATTAATTTGCTAGAGTGGCTCATATAACTCAGAGAAACATTTACATATGTTTACCAGTTTATTGTAAAGGATATTATAAGGATACAGAAGAACAGCCAGATAAAGAGGTACATTAGGGTGAGGTCCTGATGGGTCCCGAAGGGTCCTGAGCGCAGGAACTTCTGTTCCCGTGGACAGGTGTGCCACCCTCCCAGCATATGGGCGTGTTCTGGTTCACCAACCTGTAAGCTCTTGGAATGCCCTCCGTTTGGTTTTTTACATTTTACATGAGGCCTCATTACATAGGCAGGATTGATTAAATCATTGCCCATTGATGATTGAACTAGATCTCCAGCCCCTCTCCCCTCGCTGGAAGTCAGCAGGGGTTGGGACTGAAAGTTCCAACCCTCTGATCACATGGTTGGTTTCCCTGGCAACCAGCCATCATACTTAGGTGCTTTCCAAAAGTTACCTCATTGACATAAACTCAGGTTGTTATGAGTAATAAGACACTCCTTTCTCTTTTATGGCTCTGCAACTATTTCAGGAACCCATAACAAAAGACCAAATATTTTAACAGAAGATACTCCCATTGCTCTTTTGCTTAGGAAATTCCAAGGATTTTGGGAGCTATAAGCCAGGAATAGTGGATGAAGACCAAATATTTATTTTTTATTATAAATCATAATACCATACCTCGATTTTACACATGAGGAAACAAAGGTACAGAGGGATTAATTGAGTTGCTCAAAGCCACATGGCTAGTAATGTTTGCAGTTTGACTCCAGAGCCCAGGTGTTTTTTTTTCCCCCCAACCATTAGGCTTCATGTGCATGTGACTTTAGCTGTTTACTCTTTACTGCATTGTTTATTTTTTTCTGCATTTGATGGGAAGTTATATATCCTGCTAGTGATATTTTTTGAGGAAGATAAAAACAAAGTGCAATAGTATTTTTTTTTTTTTTTAGCGAGGAAGACTGGCCCTGAGCTAACATCTGTGCAGTCTTCCTCTATTTTATATGTGGGACGCTGCCACAGCATGGCTTGATGAGCAGTGTGTAGGTCCGAGCCTGATCTGAACCCTCAAACCCCCAGCCGCCAGAGAGTGCAAACTTAACCGTTACGCTACCGGGCTGGCCCTGCAGTAGTTTTTTTTAAATGGAGATTTTTACAGCAACATACTTTTTTTTTTTGGTGAGAAAGATTAGCCCTGAGCTAACATCTGTTGCCAATCCACCTCTTTTTGCTGAGGAAGATTGGCCCTGAGCTAACATCTGTGCCATCCTCCTCTGTTTTATGTGGGACTCCTGCCACAGCATGGCTTGGTAAGCGGTGTGTAGGTCCGTGCCCGGAATCCGAATCTGCAAACCCTCGGCTGCCAAAGCGGAGCACGTGAACTTAACCATTATGCCACCAGGCCAGCCCCACAACATACTTTTTAAATAGAGTTCTTTAGAGGGTAAAAAGATATTTTTACGTATATAATTGCCATTAATCTTTAAAGTAATCCTGTGTGGAATACAGAATGGTTAACATTCTCATCTTTTAATTGAGAATTTGACACTAAAACTTTGTGACATAGTTTGCAAAGGGAGTTAGTGACAGAGCCTGAATTTGAACCCCTGCAACTTGTAATTCAAATTAAAAATCCTTTCTCATATACCGTGCTGCTTTACATATCAAATTACTTTTTTTTTAATACCAAGGTCATAACTATTGAGTAGTTTTTTCTAAGAGACTTTTTGTTGTTGTTTCTGTAGTGAATTTAGCTGAAACAAAAACATTGTCATTAAGACTGTTTTTTTCTAGTTAAAGTATTTCTACTTAGAATATTTCTTGGGAAATGAAGTCTTATTAGTGTTAATAATATTTAAAGTATCATCATGTTTAACTGAAAATAGATGGTAAAGCACACACACACAATTATTTTACAGCTTCTAATCACACACATCTCACATAGTCATCTGTTTTTTTTACTCTTTAAGTCCTAAGATCCGTTTTTGTCTGACATAAGTCATGTTCCTTTACGTTGTGATTGGTTATGCAGGATTGTTGGGTCAATGAAAGTTGTTTTCAGATGTTTGTCACCCCTAGAACATTCTTTACATTTAAATATATGTTTTAGAGATTTAGATTTTCCTTTTTGTTTATATTTTTATGTCAAGAAACAAAGTCCTTTGATAATGTAGTTTACAGGAAAGCCTATTAGCAATTATAACCATTAAAAACACTTAACCAACATCTGTCAGTGCTGGTGCTGAACTCTGCCTACACAAACCTGTAACACAGGTTACAGGAATTGGGCTCTATTTTTTAAGTGCTTATAATTTATTATAACCTGTATGGTGTGGACAGAAGTGATCTCTAGCCATCCAGATATCTGTATACTTCAGTGTTACCTGTGTATTAGATATTTTATATAAAAAAAGCATCGAGAAAATATTGGCATGAAATTGATGAAAAAGGAAAAATTAATAGTTTATTTGTTTTACAAAAAAATGCAGTGTCATAATTCTTGATTTTTCTTCTCTTGTTTTTAGGCTTCTCATTTCTTTTGGGGATTGTGGGCTTTGATTCAAGCCAAATACTCCACTATTGAGTTTGATTTCCTTGGGTAAGTTTACGTTTATTGTATGCAATACGTTAGTCTCTACCGTTTTTTGGATTAACATTTAGAAGTCATAGGGGACATTGCAGTTATTTTCAGTCAAATATTATAAAGCTTGCATACATTTAATAATTGGTCTTCGAGGAAATCTGGTATAATCTGTTAAATGCTCTCAGTATTAGAAAAGTGTCCAGTAGGTGGTGCAGTAAACTAAAAATATGTCCTTTGAAAGTCTTAAAATAAAAAAAAAAATCAATTTAGAAGGGGTGAGTGGCAATAAAGGAAGGATTAAGTTTTTCAGCTTTGACTAATTCTTTTGTTACTCTCTTTTCTCACTAGGTATTCAATTGTTCGTTTTAACCAATACTTTAAAATGAAGCCTGAGGTTACTGCGTTAAAAATGCCTGAGTAAAGAAGAGATTTAATTATTCTCAAGTAGCTGAACAATGCTTGTGAATCTTTTCTTAAGAAATTCTGGAAAGCCAATATTTGATAAAATTCTGTTATTTAATTTGGTTATGTTGCTTTACAAATTATGCCTCTAAACAACCAATCTATTTTTTAAATAGACTGAATGATGTCAAGAAATATACCTACTGCTATCAGTATGTGGTGGATTAGAAATTTGTTAAATCTACAAAAAGGTATAAAGATGTCAGTTTAATTCTTTGATAATTTAATCTATGTTTTATGTGAATTATTTATTATAAATTTAACATGATTCTGTGACTGCTTTCATCTGTTTCATCTGTTTCTTGAGTGTAAGCAATGAAAATGTTCCAGAGAAAAATTTTTTTGTTTTACTTTAAGATTAATTTTAGTAAACATTCTAGGTGTTCAGTGTAACCTTTTTATCTTGATGCGCTATAAGTAAAATGAATCATTTACTCTTGAAATGCCAGATATTGGTATAGATAACTTAGGATGTTCATAGAAAAATATCTGTTTAGGAGGGTGAAATACATTCACTATCTATGCTAATGGTACATCTTTTTGAATTGAATATTGGAAAGTGTTTCTTTTTGGGGAATAGATTTTAGAATTAAATTCCTCTGTGCCTATGTAGTCTGGCAGTATAAATATTAATATTTACCATATAATACTGGAATAGATATATGATGATTTTTATGTTACCAAAATCTGCATTAAATAACGTTTTCATATACTAAATATGGTCATTTAAGTTACTAGTTTGTTTTTAAAATTTTACTATCTCAAGTTGTTTCTAACCAAAAATTTTGTTTTACTTATTGAGATGTTCTTTGTTTTTGTTTGTTATTAAATAGTAACTAGTAGAACAATTGCTAATTTTTGAAACAAAGATAGAATGTTTATCATACTTGGGAACAAGACAATGTCATTTAGAGTAATTCTTTTTTACCTCTCTAGATTCATTCTTTACATTTTGGTTTCATGTTTTAGTGTGGTTCCATGTCTTTAGAATGATAGCAAATGATTACTTGATACATGTAAGTTCAGAGAAGTAAGTTGAAGCAGTTAAAGAATTAAATAAGGAACATTTAGAACATTGATCTTGTGCATTTAATATCAGATATAACAAAATGTGAATTAAGCAGAAATTCTCATGGTAGGAGGGCTTCTGTTTGTTTTGATTTATCTTGATTTTGTTTAAATGTGTTTTTTATTTTGTTTGAGAGTGTGAGGATGACAATTATTATATGGAAGGAAGTTAGATCTTTGGGATAGATAAGTAGGCTTCAAGTTTTGAAGACTGCTGTGTGGAGTTGAGCAATCATGGTTAACTTTACTTAGAAAATTAGTCTGACAAGCTTTGCACTTTGGTCACATAAGTGCCCATGTACAAAGTTGGCTTGATGGATCTGCATATTCAGAATATGCAACTACAGATTTATCCTCTGAGAAATCTTCTGGGGAGTCTGATGTATTATTCCAAATGACTTATATTCTCAGATAAGTGCTTTAAAATACTTGGATTATCTCAAGATATTTAAAGCTAATAAAACAAGTAGAAACACTTAAAGACCATTTAAAATGGTAAATTCTAGTTGCATAAATAGAATCTTAAAATCTGTTTGTATCTATAACAGTGTTAGACCGAGATTTGTTTTCTACCTCCCCAGTGTTACAGATGTTCACTTCTGTTTTTATAAATCATATTACTGTAGGATCAACAGAATTTTACCTAATTGACTAAATGAATGGAACCAATTAATTAATAGCTTTTTATATAATGTTAGAGTGAACCTGAGAAATTGTTTTTGGTGGAATTTTCATCTGTGGTTGGAACATTTTCTTGGAATGATGAAGAATATGTAATACTCTTGTTTTTTTGCTTTCTGACTTCTTAAAGTGCAACAGTATATGTCTTGGAGAACTATTGGGGGAGAGAAGATCATTTTTCTACCTTATTCCATATTCTTCAAAGTGTTTTGAATAGAGATTCACTGAGCCATTGCTGGTAGACTATGTGCATAGCTGCTAGCTGTGACACTATTGTTAGCATGTCAAAGAGATTCATATACAAGTGAATGTAAAGGGGAATAAAGGCTCTCACTTTATCCCTAGGCCTATGCAGTGGATCTTGGGAACAAAATAAGATATTTAGGATATTTCCTCCACTCAGGCTAGATTTTGGGTGTTGTGATGCTCCCACTTCCTGTACAGGTTTTTGGGATCATGCTGCAGGCTAAAAGTAGGGTTCAAAATTACTTCCTTTTTTTTAATTGACCATTTAAGGGATTCTAAAGAAGAAACATCCCTCTCAAATTTGTCCTGTAGCTTGCTAAGATGTCTGTTGCCTTTTTATGTTAAGCTAAAAAACTTGAATGCCTTACCTAATAACTCAATTGGTAGTAAGCTCATTGTGTAAATATGAAAATGGTTGTTAGAGAAGTGGCATTCGTGTCTACTCATTGTTAGTTAATAGACCATAGTGGCCTGGATGCTGTAACAAGCAAAATTCCACATTTTTTTCTCTTTGTTCCTTTCATGTATGATCTTACCTGACCAGTAATATTTGATTTTTTTTCCCTCCTGATTCCATGCTACTACCACTTTCTGGAAATCAAAGAGATGTAGTAAATCATACTGTTCACATGATCTTTTGAGATCAATATGAGCACAAAACTTCATCAACTAGGTCTGCCTGGAATGTATATAAAACAGTGTAAATAGAAATTTGTAAATTAGTGTGAATTGTATCTTGCATATGAGATTGTGTATTGTTTTGCATTCTCTTCCCTTTTGTAGAATTTTTTTGTGAGAAAATGATCCAGCTCTTTGATTTTAGACTGGAAATAGCCAACAGTTTTGGCTGTACAGTGGGGTTAGCAAGAGGAACTGGAAATAGAGTTTATCAGTTTTGTTAATGTCAGTACTTATTTATTTAACCTCTCAGTGCCTAATATGACTTTTCTTCATTCTTTAGTTGGCCATTGGTTTTTGTGAGGTTAGATTCCTGCAAGCAGTAAATTAGTAACACTGTTAGAGCTCCATTCTTTGAGTCATGATTCTAAGCTTCAGCAAATTAAAAATATAATTTAATGATTGCAAACTCAAGTATTATCCTTTCCTATTTTTTAAGGTTGTTAACCTTTTTCTACCAAAAAAACCCTTGAATTTGATATATCTCAATGTGAATCTAAATCCCATATATACAAGAGACATGGTAATTAATAGCCCTTAGTTCAACTTAAGCATATCTCAGGCTTTTCTGAATATAAAGTTGTGCATTATGGGGTTGTAAAAGACACGAGTAATCTTTTAATGACTGTTATTTCAATTTTTTATGAAGTAAAAATATTTATTTTAATTTCATAAATATGTTACAAAAGCTTCCAGATTTAAAGAAAAAAATCACCTGCAAACACTAAATTAAAAGTTAAAAACTTCCACTTTTAAAATTATATAGATATTTCTTCTTTACCTTGCACAAAGCCTTCAGTTCATTTTTGAATTCCTTCATAATATAAATGAGAATACTATCAGTTTGATTTTCTGCTTTAAATTGCTTTTAATAAGCATTTTATACTGCATTCCAAAGTGATATAGACTTAAGCTTTTAATATTAATCTGTTATTTGATTGATAGACAAAGTTAACAATGCTTTATGCTAGGAGGAGGGTTTTGTTATTGGCAGCAACTTGCACTACTTTACGCAAACAGCAAATGCTAGTTAATATGCACAGAGGAAAATGAATTATAAGTCTGTGGTAAAGCAGCTTTGTATTTCGAGATTAATTTGCTCTGATTTTTCTTCTTTAGTTCATTAGACTTTAGAAAGTCCTTTGACAGGAAACTGTTACATTTAAGGCGATCTGTTTGTTTTTGTTTCTTTTTTTAAAGAAAGACATTAGTTATGTTGCACTGTGTTTTTTTCCTACTACGTACCACTTTTGTGATTACAGTGTTGTGTCTTGGGTTTGATGTCTTTGGACACAAAAGCATAACAATTATTTTAAGTGAATTTCCCCCCATTTTTGAAGCTTAGTCTGTAAATGAATTGCTATAAAAGAAAATGCTTGGGTTTGCATTACTTAAATACTTGAAAACTGAAATTAATAAGATATATTAAATAATGAATTAGATTTTTCTGAACACAGTTTTTACACTAAAATTTTCATTTTTGGATTCTAATTGGAAATGGGCAGAAGATTTCAGCTATTTGAATGGAAAAAATCATGATAGTGCTTATAGAAAATATTCTTTTGTGTTTGAGGCATGCAAAATTCAACTTTTTAGTAGGTTTCTGTCCTGAAATCTGCTTTCTCTTCTTTCCTATACTTAGTGCACTTACTATCCTACTGATACTACAGTTAAAATAAAATCTGTGTTCATTATGAATCCTATAGCTTTTCTAGTTATGAAAAAGTTGCTCTGTAAAATACTCTTAATCCCTACATGTAGGCATATTTTTGTTTACGTCTTACCCATTAATGATCTAAATACCATTAGTCGTTTAAACAAAACACTTATAAGACGTTTATAAAAATTGAAAACATTACATATTATATTTGAACTAGTTAGTGAAGGGTAAGAAAAAGATGGCTGATTTGAGTTGTTCCACTAGTTAGATTTCAAAACTCTTAATAAAAGAACTTTCAGAGATAGTTTGAGACCCAGTGGTATCCGTGTAAACGAGCTCCTGTGACCTGGAAAAGACCCCAAAAAGCAGTGGAGGAGATGAGAATATTTACTTGCCCTGGTTGTGGTGTGCTGCTACATAAATGATGTAGTGACACACTGAAATTTTTATTGTCCAGTAATCTGAAGAAGTTTCCTGTTATTTATCTGTTCTAAAGTAACTATAAATTGGTGGAATCTGCAGAGAAGAAACTTTTTAGCTGTATTGTATTTAGGGACGTTTGTACAGCTGGGTAAATTTTCCATGGTATGAAGTATTTGAATTTAAAACATACTATTATTATAAGGAAGAAGACCTGGCAATATTACATGTTCTTAAGTGATAATTTCCTATCAGTTTCAGAAGAAAGAAACCAAAATGAATAATTGTCATTGCATTAGCTGTATGTGAATTGGAAAATTGTGGCATAAAGCTTAAATTTGTGTTTATCAAATGTGAACCATAGTAGTTTAATGCTGCTTTGTATATACTGTAAGTGCTACAAATAGTCTCAGCACTGAAAATGTATTGATACCTCTTAAATGAATGCAACTTTTGATGTAGGTGTTTTGATACGCCTCAGAAAATATCTGAGTGTCTGAGAACTTGTTAATCTGTTTGGTAATGAAGATACTTCCTGTTTTTTGTTGCTTATTTTCATGTTTAAAATTTAATTTTTACATTTTTACTACTGTTAATTTAAGTAAAATTTGTTCTGTGGATAAAATGGGGTTGCCAGTGAAGAAAATTAAAAACAGCCTCATTCATGTAACTGCTTAAGTAAAAATACATTTTTGCTATATGTTTATAAACTTTTAATGAAACTGTTTGTATTTCTGTTTAAATGTAAGTGATGTTTAGGCTTTATTTCTGTTTTAATAAGGCCTTTTACCATTGATTAAATGAAGGAATGTATCTTTTGAAGAGATTTATATTCTGTAAATAAAAATTGGTTGTAACAATAAAGTTGAGTTCTAACTGCAGTGTATCCATAAATCTTGTTGTTACTTCAACTTATTTTTGTAGTTTTACTTTTGTGGAAAAACAAGTCTTTTCAAAGTTAGTGTATAATTATTTGTATGTTTAAAGTGATTCTTTAAATTTCTAATTCTCTGATTTTATAATATAGTATTAAAAAGTTTTGAAAAAAGTTTTCTTTTGAAAATTTGGTTGAGATGAGAGTGTGGAATATTATATAACTTATGAACAAATTCTATTTACCTAGTTTAAAGATTCATTATTCTTCTAACCATTATATTTTGTGTCTTCACTGTTTGGGGCTGGAAACATCGATGAATAAAGGCAGTGTCTGGGACTTAACATCTTACAGTCTAGGCAGGAAATATTCATTCCACTAATGTTTATTAAGCCCTTTCTAATTATCAAGTAATGTAATAGATGGTGGAGATACAAAGATAAGGTATGATCTCTTCCTTCAGATAATGTTTATTTATCATAAAGATCAATTCTCCATAACAAAAATAGTCAGCAATTTGTGTATATGTGTTTTATAGAATGTTTTCCAATTTGAGTTATTAGGTGTTTTCTAATGATTAGATTGAGGTTGTGTATCCCCAGCCAAAATACTACAAAAGTGATGTGTCCTTGTTAGAGTATTAGATCTGAAGAACTCACTGTTGATGTTAATTTTTTTTACTTTGTATTTTTCGTGTGTGTGTGTGAGGAAGATTAGCCCTGAGCTAACATCTGTTGCCTATCCTCCTCCTTTTGCTGAGGAAGATTGGCCCTGGGCTAACATCCATGCCCATCTTCCTCTACTTTATATGTGGGACGCCTGCCACAGCATAGCTTGATAAGTGGTGCGTAGGTCCATGCCCAGGATCCGAGCCTGCGAACCCCGGGCCGCTGAAGCAGAGCGGGTGAACTTAACCACTATGCCACTGGGCCGGCCCTTGTTGATGTTAATTTTGATCACCTGGTCCAAGTATTGTTCTGTGTCTTCACTATATAGTTATGATACCCCCTTGTAAGTAATAAACAATCTTTGGGGAGATACTTTAAGATTATGTAAGTTTTTTGCTCTTTTTCAAATATCTCCTGTGCCCCTCCCCAATTTAGCAACAGTTGATAATTGTCTAAAACAATCATTATTATGATGGCTGCAAAATAGTCATTTTTAGTTTTGCTACATGCTCCACATATATCAGTGTTTTACTTTAAGGAATCGTCCCTCCTCTTGTGTCTGTCATTTATCTATCAATCATATACCATCCCTGTGACTGTATTTTAAGTATAGACTCAGGTTTCTATCAGTGGATTATAATGTTACTGTACTTATTTATATTGATGTTAAAATTGTCTGAGATTTGGCTTGGGGAGCTCCATCAAACCTGGTTCCTGTGTCCTTTTGATATGCCTCACCATTTTTTGAGCACTTCCTTACTTTCTAGTAAAATAAGACGTTCCAGACTAAATGTGTACCTTCCCTTCCTGAGCCCTGGAATCAGCCATTTCTCCAAGGAGCTTGGTTCCTTTTAGGGGGAATGGTATTTAGCAACTTAGAACCAGGTATGCTCATTGCTTCTGGGATATCACTGAGCCTAGAGCTTTGTAGCTGACAAAGCAAGGAAACACACACACTTATATTTATATATAAACGTGTTTTAGAAATTATGAGTCCACATTGACACCTCCAATTTCTAATCCAACTTCACAAGGAGTTCTTCCTTGCCTCCCCCATTTCATATTTGTTTCTTTCTCCTTACTCTGATGATACAGATAAGTATTTTTAAGAATACTGTAGAATTCATGTGCCCCTTTCAGTGGATCATATGAGGTATAAGATGTTAATTTGTGTTTTATTGGTAATATTAACCTTAATTGCTTAATTTAAGTGGT